TTGTACAACCTTCTCGGGTCATGAATGGAAGATTATCAAAGGAACACTCATCATTGCTCGAGGTAAGAAAAGTGGTACTCTCTATGTAACCTCTAACCTAGAGAATATTATTGCAGTGACAGATGCAGATAAAAAATCAAACCTATGACACTAAAAGCTTGGCCATATGAGCGAGAAAGAGATGAAGACACTTTTGCCAAAAGGGAAGCTGTCGGATCTGAAGAATGTAGATGTCGACCTATGCGAAGATTGCATCTTTGACAAACAGAAAAAAGTCAGTTTTGTAAAGATTGACAAGACACCTAAGACAGAAATGTTAGAATTGGTTCATACCGACGTATAGGGGTCATCTCTAGTTTTATCTTTTGCAGGCTCACTGTACTATGTCACCTTCATTGATGATTCTACAAGGAAGGTATGGGTTTATTTTTTGAAGAAGAAATCAGAAATCTTTGATACCTTCAGAAAATAAAAGGCCATAGTGAAAAATAAAACTGGTTTAAAGATAAAACGGTTGAGGTCAGACAACGAAGGAGAGTACAAAGATAGTAGATTCAAAGAATTTTACGCAAACAACGGAATCAAGATGGAGAAAACAGTTCCCATAACACCGCGCATGAACAGAACTTTGAATGAACGTGCCAGAAGCATGAGATTACATGCCGGCTTGCCCAAGTTCCTATGGGCTGAAGCTATCAATACCGCAGCCTACCTAATCAACCGCGGAACACCGAAAGAAGCTTGGAACAGAAAAGAGGTAAACCTTTCACATTTAAGAATTTTTGGTTGTATCTCTTATGTACACAGATTCTGCTGAAAGAAGTAAACTTGATGTCAAATCTAACAAATGTGTTTTTGTTGGTTATGGTGATGATGAGTTTGGTTACCGATTTTGGGACTATGAAAATCGAAAGATCATCAGAAGCAGAGATGTCATATCTAATGAGAATGTGATGTACAAAAACAGATCAATTATAGAATCAAGTAGCTCCAGTACAAAAGCTGAAACAAAGGAATTTGCTGAATCTGAGGAGATTTCTGAAAATGATGTTAAGACTAGCCCTGAAGCAGTTCAAGAAGAACCAAACACGCCAGAAGTGAGACGCTCCTCCAGAATTCCTAAGTCAACCCAGCGTTACTTGCCTTCTTTACACTACCTGTTGCTGACTGACAGTGGTGAATCAGAGTGTTATGATGAAGCAATGCTGGTGGAGGATTCAAACAAGTGAGAGTCTGCTATGCAAGATGAGATAGACTCGCTCATGTTAAATCAGACATGGGACTTATCTGAATTACCATCAGGTAAGAAAAATCTTCATAACAAGTGAATTTACAGGATCAAAGAAGAACATGATGGGAACAAACGCTACAAAACAAGATTGGTTGTGAAAGGCTTTCAGCAAAAGGAAGGTATTGACTATAATAAAATTCTCCGATCGTGAAACTGACTACAATCAGACTGGTATTAAAAATTATAGTTGCTAAGAATTTACATCTTGCACAGTTAGATGTAAAAACAGCTTTCCTTCATGGTGATTTGGATGAAGAGATTTATATAAAGCAACCAGAAAGCTTCATAAAGGCCGACAAGAAAAATCTAGTATGCCGGTTGAAAAAGAGCTTGTATGGATTAAAACAAGCTCCCAGACAGTGGTACAAGAAGTTTGACAGTTTTATAAGTAGCAACGGTTTCACTAGATGCCAAACAAATCATTGTTGCTATCTCAAGAGGTTTGACAATAGCTTTATTATTTTATTGTTATACGTTGATGACATGCTCATTGTAGGTTTAGATCTGCAAGAGATTACAAATTTAAAGTAAAAATTATCAAAGCAGTTCGCAATGAAAAATCTTGACACTGCAAAGCAGATTCTTGGAATGATGATCAAGAGACACGAAGTCTAGGACTTTGATATTATCAGAGGCTGAGTACATCAACAAAGTACTCTCCAGGTTCAACATGCAAGATGTGAAATCAGTGGGTACACCTTTAGGTGTTCATTTCAGACTTTTCAAAGAACAATCACCGAAGACTGAGGAAGAGCGAAGGTCCCTTACGCTTTAGCTATTGGAAGTCTGATGTATGCCATGATTTGTACAAAATCAGATATTGCTCAAGCAGTGGGAGCTGTTAGCAGGTACATGAATAATCCAGGCAAGATACACTGGGAAGCAGTCAAATGGATCCTCAGATATCTACGGGGTACTACAGGTAAAACACTTTATTTCAAAGGTGAAGATATAATACTAATAGGTTATGTGGATGCTGATTTAGCAGGAAACATTAATATCAGAAAAAGCACTACAGGGTATGTCTATACTCTAGGAGGTACAACAGTGAGTTGGATTTCTTAACTGTAAAAGATAGTTGCTCTCTTCACAACTGAAGCAGAACATGTCGCTGTTACAGAAGCCAGCAAGAAAATGGTTTGGCTTCAAAGTTTCTTGGATGAGTTAGGCAAGAAACAAGAAGACAATGTCTTATATTACGACAGTCAAAGTGCTATTCATCTAGCGAAGAATCCATCTTTTCATTCCAGAACGAAGCACATACAGATGCGATATTATTTTATCCGATCACTTCTGAAAGATGAAATTTTGAAGCTTAAAAAGATTAGTGGAGCTCAAAATCCGACAGACATGCTGATAAAGATGGTGACTACTGACAAACTGAAGCTATGTTCAGCTTCTATTAGCCTGCAATAGTAACAAGATCGGGAAAGAGCTGCTGCAGAGATCGAGATGTGAAGACAAATTAAAATCAGTCTTCAAGTGGGAGATTGTTAGTCAACATTGGCTGCCACCGAAAGCCACCACCTCTCTTTCCTTTGTTGACAAAATGAAAAAACCAACATATTCTTTCGGTGGTCGAAAATTTTGAAGGAGAAAAAGAAGAGTGGGCCCCCACCACGGGCTCCACCGTGGGTGCCACCAGTAATAAATTATTGGTGCATAGTATTTTTTTAAGATACTATAAATAGACCCTAAACTCTTAAGAAAAAACTCATCCCAGAAACAACTCCTCTTATAAAAGAGTACGAGAGAGAAAAGAGAGACTTAGAGAATAATCTTTGTGAGAGAAAATTGTGAGTAATTTTCAGAGTAGGGATTGGGTTGTGAGAAATTTGTGAGTGTTGTAAAATTTCTCTTCATAATGAAAAATCTGCAGTAACCCGTGGATGTAGACAAGTTTGTGCCGAACCACGTAAATCTTGTGTGTCCCCCTTTTTGCGCATTATCTTGCTTTCTCTTAAATCTGGTAATAAGGGAATCTAAGTAATTTCCCAACATTTCTCTCTCCCCTCTCCTCCACTCCCTCCTAATACTTCACGTAAAATGTTTGATGTTGTGTGTGGAAGAAGAAAAGGAGGTTGGGTTTTTGATGATTTGCGGGTGGAGAAAGTGAGCGGAGCAAGGAGGGAGAGCAATTGGGAGAGAGGAAGAGGATGATAGATTTGGAAGAATTTTTTATCTTGGTCTCAGAAAGGAACAGGAGGAAGTTGGATTTTTTTTAATTATTAGAGGGTGAAGGAGTTGATGGAGTAAGCAGAGAGAGGAAGTGGGAGAGATGAGGGAAGGTTGGGGATTGAGAGGAGAAAATAAGGGAGCATATGGTGGAAAGGAGAAAGTAAGAGTTGGGACAAGGAGGAAGAAGGAATGGGAGAGAGGAGGGAAGGTTAGGACTCTGGAGAAGAGAATGAAGGAGATGGTAGGAAGGAGGAGGGAGGAGATGGTGAGAAGGGAAAGGGTTTTTACAAATATCAGAATTTGGGAAACGGTGGAGGGGGGTGAATCCGAAAAATATGGGAGAATAAGGGGCCTATATGCAAAAATCCCTTAGTTACAACTAGCCTCCGGCGATCGGAAAGGCCTATATGACGCTAATTTGTCACTTTTTAGGTCAACATGTCACCAATGTCACTTTTTAGGCCAAAGTGTTAAAAGAGTGTCCCTTTTAGGCCAATAGGTATTTTAGCCGATAATTTAACATGTTGGCAACTTGATGCGCATATCAAACACATACTAGCTATCACATTACCATGTGTATATTATTTAACAATATTGTGTGATTTAATCTAAGTATTGTTACACATCAATTTCATGCTTTTGTTCTCTATAAATAACCAAATATGCATTTTTAGAATTTTGCCTCCAAATTTTACTTGTTTTATAACTTTCAGGTTTTGTCCTTTGTTTCTTATTCTTTGGAACTTTTGCCCCCTAATTAAATTTAGAAAAATTGACTTGCCACTTTTTTTGGCCCAAGTCCCAAAAAGCCAAAGCGGCACCTTGCCACTTTTCTCACCTTTGCGTTTTTCCCAACTTTGGTCTTATCATAAAGAATGACCCAAAGAGAAGGGAAAACCCTGATAGTACACCTTCCCATACCCTTAATCTAGTGAGAGCCTCTAAAATCACTCCCAAAAGGGTAGGCCAAAATTGACATGAATAACTTGAAATTGCTCCAAATACCACACTTGAAAACAATCTCTACTAACTTCTTGCTTTCCTTCATAATGTACATTAGCTTATTCTTATTCAATTATTGGGTTGAAAATTTTACTACTGAAAATCGAATGAGTTTGTTAATCTACTTGTATTCAATTATTGTATCTATTTTCCATGGTTTTACATAGCACAGAAAGTTACACATAACAGAACTGAGAATCCACTACAAAGGCTATGCACTTTTCTAACTACAAACATTGTTATAATTCACGTTTTTCCATTTGTAAATTAAAACACACATATGTCAGACAAGCTCAGTTACCAAGCTTAAAGTCAGTACAATCAGAGAATGTAATGACAACTCACAGCACGACTACTTCATCACAAACTGAGCAAAAATGTTCAGAGAATTAGATTTCTCATTCGTATATCATCATTTAATTAATCAGAAACAATAGGATAATCAATATTTACAACTCTAGGTTAATTGACATCAAATTAGGATTGTTTCTACCCGATTTTGCAATGATTACGAAGGGAGGAAGATTACCATTCTAGCTCGCTCTCCCTTCTCTTCAGTCGCTTCATCTTTAAATAGCCGCTGCACACAAACAATCATTCAGAACAAAATCACCAGATCCAAAGTAACGGATGAAAAAAAAAAAGATTAAAGACCACCAAAAATGGCCAGATCCTGAGACCATACCGCCATTAGAGCAGCAACAAGTGAGCTCCAGAAACTGGCGAAGATCGAATGCGATGAGAATCGAGAGAGATCAAAAGAGAAGAGGGGCCGAAGTGACAGCGAAATCGATCGCCTTTCGGGGTTTGAACTGAAACCCTAGAAAACCCTAGAATACTCTCTCGCTTCTCGCGGGCGGGTTGGACAAAGCGTTTTAAAGCGGGTCGGGTAGATAGGGATCGGACCCAGAATTAGAGGCCCGAAACTCTAATCGGGTCGGGTAGAGGGATCAGGCCCAGAACACTGGTTTTACCTTTTTTTTGGAAAAATCGAATGCTGTGATTAACTCTATTTTTCAGAGAAATGTTCAAATATTTAAATAGCTCCTTATTGCGTGACCCATATAATTTTCCATTTTTTTTGGGTTTTCCTCGTACTCAGCTATGGATGCACACATATATTTCGTTGTTATCTGGTTCGTATCCATATTTGATTTTGACGAATATGGAGTAAAAATTATTCTTATTGAATGATGTCGACGTTCATATTGGTACGTGTGTTTAGTGAGCAAATATGAAGATAGTAAATATCATATTTGATTCCTACCCAATTCATATGCAGCCTAAAACTATATTAGGCCAGAAGGTGTTAGTTGTTGGTCACCTATTTATAGCGCAGCAGACTTTTGGTCTTTTTCTTTTTCTTTCAGGGGATGTTTGGATAGGTTTTTTTGGGTGGTAAAAAAGAAGAAATCTGCTAAAAATGTCAGTTTTTTAGCAGCTTTCCCCCGAAATCACCTTTTTAAGAGGTGATTTTGGGGGGAAGTTGCCAAAAAGCTGACATTTTTCACAGCTTTCCCCACTTTTACCACCCAAAAAACAGGAACCAAACAACCCCTTACTTTTTTTTGGGTGGGGGGTTAGGGGTTTAGAATATGTAAATCAAATTCAATGGAGCGGATCATCCACAATGTAGCTCAATCATGTGATTTTAGGCTGCATCCTTAGATGATTATCTAAGGTGTCACATTATTAACTTAATTGTAACTTTTTATATTTTATTTCTATAATTAATTAGATTGTAACAGTAAAAAAAGAGAAAAACACATAATAAATACTCATTCTCGTTTATGCATAGTTTATGCATTTTTTTCTCTTGCTAACTTCCTTTATTCTCTTCTCATTCACTCATCTTTTATATTTATTTAATCTTTGATACTCAACATACATAATTGTAATTCTAATCCAGAAGGCCCCAAAATAAAAGGTAAGCTTGTTGGTTTTTATTTATTTTAATAAATTTACATTTATTCTCCTCATATATATATATATATATATATATATATATATATATATAATGTTTTTTTTTAAAAAAAAAAATACATGTTTTTTTTTAAAATTAAAATTAATAAAATTTTATTTATGCTCAACAATGTCTCAAGAAAGATTAAATAATTTGGTAATTTTATCAATTGAAAAAGATTTATTATCAAAGCTTAAATATAAAAATTTAATTAGTAACTTTGCATCTCAAAAAACAGAAAATTAAATTTTATATAAAATTTATTTTAAAAAACTAATATTTAATTTTTTTTTATATTAAAACCCCAAATATTTTTCTCAACCTAGACCCTCAAAAATGCTTGAGACGGTCCTGTGGCGCCTAACAACCAGTTGTAATCCAAAAGCTTAAAATACTAGTCACCAACTTCTATTTTGAGACTCTCAACTCTTTCAGGAAAGTGCTCAGCAATAAGAACGAGTCAACAGGCAAGACCGCAGCCACGCAGAGAAAGAGAGAGAGAGAGAGAGGAGAGAGAGAGAGAGAGAGAGCAGAAGCTTGGAGCGATGGAGATGAAGACCGTGGAGTTGAAGCCCGCAGAGGTGGCCAGCTCTAAGATGTTCAATGGCTACAACAAGAGATACAGGCACTTCAGCCCCACCCTCGGCTGCTTCATGCACTTCTCCATCTTCTTCCCCCCTCCTTCCCCTTCCCAAAAGACCCCAGTAATTAATTAAGCCTCTCTCCATCCTCTTCCAATTTCATAAGTTTTCATTTTTTGGATTTCCATATGTTTGATGAATTTAAGAGTCTAAGTTCTATGGCCAACTATACTATACAGCTCACTAGCTACCAAGTAAAGTGCTGTATTTGCACTGACTCAGAATTGATTCAGGAGTAAATTTGCATTCTTCCTTAGTATGGTTTTCTATAGATTTCAATGAGTTTACCCATCTGAGTTTCGCCTATAACTCGCTGTCAATCTTAAGTGTTCGCGATTAGATTGATCTTTTCATACTTTTTTTTTTTTGCTGCTGCTGATATTTTAACTATTTCACCCGTTTTTTTCTGTCTGCAATGGTTGAATATAGCGTTCGCACTGATTTAAAATTGATAGCGGAACATGTGGCAAGTTTTACCTCCCCTGTATATGAGTTCTATATAAGGATGCACAAAATATCCGTATTTGAGGAAATATCCATATCCGTTAGGATCCGGATATGGTCACCAAAATCTATAACCAATAGGATATGTTTATGGATATGATTATGTACTGAAATATTTGGATCCGTATCCGAAATATCCGAATATATGTTGGCCATACTGTTGCAACAATTTTAATCCTTTGATTAATGGATTTGAGGTTAATTCTGATGATCAAGATACCTAAACTTAACTCTTTAAGATATAACAAACATAGTAATGAACTCTCATGTATCCTACAAACTATGTATATTATCTAGTTTCCTCATATCCGTTTTGTATCTGCATGTATATCTGCTTGTATATCTACATGCATATCCGTGTCCGATTATAGCAGATATAGATATGAATTATCCTTACCGAGGCATATCCATACTCGTATCTGTGATTGGTAAGCGTATACGGATATGGTAAGCATCATATCCGAGCGGTATCCGGACCATATGCACCCCTAGTTCTATAGAGGTCGTCCGTAGGAAATTTTCCCATTTCAGATATTTGATGGGTTTACCCATGCAGGCTTTGTCTATGAGTATCTTATACTAGTTCAATATTTGTTCACTGATATTTAGTTTGTGCATTGAGATTTACATGTTTATGTTGTCTAGCATTGTTTCATTGGTTTAAGATGAATAATGCATACATGTCACTCCCTTCCTATATGATTTTCTATAAAGTATCCTACATAGGGCTCCCCCCCCCCTTTCCCTGTCATACATTTGACGACAGTAATGATTTTTACATCTCTATCAGTTGTCTCTGAGATTCATTAAAAATCTTTAGTGAGTACGACTGATTTTTGTACTATTTGTGCTATTTCAGTACTCCATTAATACTGATTTTTTTTTAATTCATTTCATACATGTGATTAATTTCCATTTTGGTTTTGTCTGTAACTCACTACAAACTAATAGGTCCTTTACTTTCTTTCTGGGGTCCAATGCACCGACGAGACCTTCCTCCTCCAAGCTGGGGCTCAGAGGACTGCATCTGCTCTAGGGATTGCTCTTGTTGTTCCTGATACATCTCCAAGTAATTTGCCCCCCACCCCCCACCCCACCAAAACAAAATGGAGTTCAATGAAATTGTTGCCAATGGTATTTATTTACTTATCATTTTTTGACTGAATGTAGGAGGCCTTAAGGTAAAGGGAGAAGCAGATAGCTGGGATTTTGGTGTAGGTGTGTATGCATAAAAGCTATTGCATTTTCATAGCATCTTAAAAGCATGTTGTTTGGAGCTTGGCTTTATGCTAAAATTGAATATTCACTGAAATCATGGTAGTTTTGTAAAAAAAAATAAAGTTCATGATATTTAATTCATATGTAGCTTCCTGAAAGTTATAATTCGTGATTTGACATAACGTGGACGTTATGTAGTTTGACATAATGTGGACGTTATGTAATTTGAAGCAATTATTAGTTCATGCATTTTTTGTTTTTTATTTTTTCCCTCTCTTTTCTTTTCCTACCAGGAGCTGGATTTTATCTAAATGCTACCACGAAGAAGTGGAAAAATTGGAGAATGTATGACTATGTAGTTAAGGAATTGCCGAAAATTTTATGTGAAAACTTTGAACAAATTGATACTTCACAAGCATCCCTTTTTGGACACTCAATGGGTGGGCATGGAGCACTTACAATTTACTTGAGGAATCTTGACAAGTACAAGGTACTGCATTGTTTTAAATTTCGGGTTAGTGCAAATAGAACTTCTGATCTACTCTTTGCTTGTTTACGTACTCAATAGCTTTTTCATGTTGATTATCTGAAATTGAACCATCATTAACATTTATATCCTTTTAATGCCTATTTAAATAGAAGGGAAGCAGGAGGATCGGATGGATATTTTTTGCTCAAAATAATCACGTGCTAATCATGTGACACAAGTGTAACGAAATCTTCAATAGTCGACTAATCATAATTTTCTTCCTTTTGCAGTCAGTATCAGCCTTAGCGCCGATGGTCAATCCTACAAAGAGTCCTATAGGACAAAACATGCTCTCAAAGTATTTGGGGGCTAACAAGTCAGATTGGGGGGTAAGCTTCCTATGATAATTCTGACACGATCTTTTCATTTTGCCTATGAATCTTATGTGCTTTATATATCTTCTATATTTCCTCATGAATTTTCTGAATTGATAGATATAATGATGAGGGTAGCTTAGATCTTTTATCCAAAAGGTGAATGCAGTATCAACATTACTTATTACTTTCAGGAATATGATGCTACCTGCTTGATTGCAAAGTATAACAAATTTTCCTATCCTATCCTAATCGACCAGGTATGACATTTTTCCGATAGTAAGCCGTATATTTTTGCTGATTTAATGGTTTATAGTATTTTTCTTAAATAAACATAGTTTATGGCATGTTTAATGTTTTGTGTGAAACCGATATACGAACTCACGTTGATAATGTGGTCTACAGGGTGAGGATGATCAGTTTCTGCATGATCAGCTTCTGGTAAGCAATTTTCAGGAAGCCTGCAAGAGGGTTGGTGCGCCTCTAGTCCTCAGGATGCAGCCTGGCTATGACCATAGCTACTATTTCGTCTCAACTTTTATCGCCGATCACATTCATCACCATGCCAAAATGCTTAAATCAGCATGAGTCAAATCTCGGTGTGCCTGTGACCGTTATCCTTCTGTGACATTATCTCGATGTTTGTCTGGTGGTCGTTAAACTTCATGTGTTTGTTTACTTCTGTGATACCCTCTTCATACCGTCTGCTAGTTGTTGAACTGCGTGTATCTTTGATTGTTATCCTTCTGTAATTTTATCTCGATATTTGTCTAGTGGTTGTTAGACTGCCTTGGCGTGTTCCTTGTTTCTGGGTTAATCGCAGATAGACCCATGTACTGTCGCCAAATTGAACTTTACTACCCACGTAATCCTATCGTTGTAGATAAACCCCCTGAGTGAAATGTTTTTGACTCTTTTACCTTCAAGGAGTTTATTTATCAAAGACCAATTCTCTCTCTCTCTGAGGGTAATAGAGTCAAACAAATGTCACTTAAGGGTTCAATTTGCAGCTATAGACCTCTACATGGGGGTAAGTTCAATTTGGGGTCTATCCGCAGTTATCCCTTCTGAAGTTTATGCTGGATGAAATCTGCTGAATCTTCACTAACTTCCAAGTTTCTATGTTAGAACTGTCCCAATCTTAATAAGATGCTTTCATAATCCTTTTAATTCAAGATTTGTTATTCAGGTTTTGCTGAAAAAAGATTTTACTGTTGTGTCATCTTCTATATATTTTGCATGTCACAATCTGGAAATAGGAGATTTAGGCTATTGTTATTGGCAAAGGAAATTAGATTGGGATTTGAAAGTTGAGGGGAAATTAATTTTTTTTTTGCTTACAATTTTCTGACTTAATTAGCTAAAAAGCTAAACACTTGGCTCCCAAACCATAGCATGTGATATATTAGAAATTATCGCATGCTGTGCATGGCCTTGAATTCAAAGATGCGATATCTTTTTGAGGAAATTTCCACCATTTTCAACTATACTTTTTCTTCACTTTCACGACTTCAGCTACTTGGTTTTTATTATAGCGGAAACCAACTGGATTTTTATCCTTTATTTAAATAGATAGGAATCTAGAAATCGACATGGTAAACCTCACTCATATCAGGGTGATACAACCCAAAATTCTGCTCAATCCCAGGTTTCTTCAGGTTCTCATTGAACAATGCAAACAAGTAAGTCTCAGTCCCTTTACCAGGCCTCTTTGGTGTTCCTGCATTCCCATTTACATGCTTCACCAAATTATTATTGTACGCCATCGCATTATCAATCGTCGCTCCTCGCTCATTGCCTCCCGATGGCCAACCAGTCTCTGAGACGATAACTTCCACATTACTGCCCCCCATCTTTTCCAATGACGAATATATAGAATCCACTATTGCATCAAACATATTTGTGTATCCCAATGATCCATCTTGCACAAAAATGTTTCTCTCTTTGAAGAGTGCATAGTCTAATGGCAAGCTCTTGTCACCTTTGTAGGCATAGTATGGATAAATATTTACGAGGAATGGAGTGTTTTTAGATGCCAGGAATGAGATCATCGGCTTCATGATTGAAGCTAAAGCTTCAGAGAATGCACCCTGCAAAGAACAATACGCATAAATTAGCATTTTTTTGAAAAAAAAAAAAATTGGGCCATGACTAAAGTTCCAGATTGATGTTGAAGAACAGCTTGCAGGATGATCATAGACAGAATGAAAAGATGTACAGACCAGCAGAAAGTGGACTATTCTGAAAATTGAAGTCGTAGTTTTTCAAAATCAGCTACATTGTAGAACAAACCCCCCCCCCACCCCCACCGCCCCACCCACGGACAGCACTTATCACCCTCAAACTCGCCTGATTATGTGCTAACCAACAAGTTGAATGATGATAAGTGCTACTGAAGGTATACGTATGGGGTTACTTGCGATTTATCCTCTTAGAAAACTTTCTGTAGAGCTGTGTCCTGAACACTGGACATAAAGTGCACCAAGACTGAGTATTAGTTGGAACAGTATTGGTATTAAGAGTTGCCTTGGCAAGCCTGAACCTAATATACATTGGATGACGAAAAGTATTCTGAATACTCGGTTACTAAAATATTTTGTTAAATAGCATATACTACTAATATACATGATTTGAGAACTAACCTAGATTTTGAAAAAGGTCAATTGCATCTAGGTACCCTGAGTATGGCATATTTATATAGCTGATCCTAGACTCCATATATCTACGCAGGGAACCGTGAGATTAATGATTGTAATTGTAAGGGTGACCCTTGAGTTTATTTTTTCCTTCTCAAGTTACTTATGTAGTTATCAGTAATCTCAGGGTTGCCCCTGTAAATATAGAGACTCCAGCTCAGCCTTGCAATTACACCATGCCTCAAGGTGACAGAATGTAAATAATCCTTTTGAAAAATATTTTTTAGCAATACCTCTGATAATCATTATGTTAATGGCATAAATGGAAATAAATCTTAAAGATCATAGATAATGCAGATACACACCTGAGATGGAGGGTATGAGACACCAAGAACTCCAAGAGAAACAGAAGTTGACACGGGAATTTTCAGGTTCAATGCAGAAACAGCAGCATCGAGGTTCTTCATCGCTGGAACTACGTGCACTGCCAAGTCCCCGGGTATGACTTCATTTGCTGCAGTGATGCAACGAAAGGTGACTGAGTTTGCGTGAGGGAGAACATTGGTTTGGACCCATTGAGTGGCGAAGGATGGATCAGAAGCGAGACGAGGGAGATCAGAGTTTAGGGTTCCAATGATTACTTCGATGCCTGAATTGTGAAGAGCTTCGAGGACATTTGGGTTGGGTTCAAAGAGGCGAATTTTGTTTATGTTTCGAGATTTAAGGAGGGAGACTACTTGGTCTGGTGGAGGGAGGTTGTCGCCAAGTAGTCCATAGTTCACACCGACACTTGAGCCTCCTGTATTCAACATTCAAGTTTCAACATCATGCATTATTGTATGTTTAGGACGAAGGAAGAGTCAGATGCTTCTTCTATCTATAAGTAAAGGGTTATTTGCAGATAGCCCCTTCGTACTAGAGCCAAATTTAACTTACTACACCTGTAGTTCCATTGTTGCAGATAAGACCCCTTAGTGAAATTTTTTGACCCTTTCCAGGGGGTTTATCTGCAACAGTAGATTTTTACACAGGGAGTCTATCTATAGCAATAGAACTACAGCGGTAGTGAGTTTAATTTGGTGATACTATCGGGGGTTTATCTGCAATTAACCCTTATTAAAAGATGAATAAATTCTCTTTTGGGAGTAATCCATTCGTTAAGAAGGCGGACCATAAGTTTTCATGTAATATATCATTCTGAACTGTACACAAAATAATAAGATACGCATTTCCGAGCAAATGTTAAAAAAAAAAAACATAGTTATGCATCAGGATCATGCAATCAAAATCACTGTCCATACCCAAATGCAAACAAAAGCGTGAAATAGTGATCATAAAAGCAAGAATAGAGAGAAGATGATCCATGGAAATTAGGGATGAAAACTAAATACTGCAAGTTTTCTCCTTGCCTCAAACTTTAATCATCTTGAGGTTGGATGAACTGAGATCATCTATTTATGATGGTAGCTTAGCATACATTTATTGAAACAGATTGCAAATCATTTTGATTGTAACTAATGCATGATTGTTGACTTTATATATGGACATCACCGTTACGCACGTGTTGAACTTCATGATAGTCATCATTCTGCACATGATATGTTACACTTGGTAGATCTATATTTATAGCATATTGCTCTATTTTTCTTCAATCAAGCAAGGTGCAGACGAGTTTGGCGATATTAAATAGTTACTTTCATTGGTTCACGCAATGGGTAAAAGCATGGTGCAATATCTTCAATCAAGCAAGGTGCAGACGAGCTCTGGTGGCGGTCGACCGTCACCAAAACTGACGCCCAGTAAGCCTCGTGCACGAACGCGGTCGACCACCGTGGTCGACCGCCACCCAGTCTGCCTGAATCTGTCAACCTGCGCACGAACGCGGTCGACCACCGTGGTCGACCGCCACCCAGTCTGCCTGAATCTGTCAACCTGCTGTCAATTCTACAGTACAGGGTATAGATCGGTTGAAGCTTGCATTTGACTAGTGTTCACCATATACAAGGAGGGCTAGGATAGTATTCCAGAAGAGATTGATTGTCCGTTCTAAAGTGACAGTCTATTTGAGCGTTCGAGAATCAACAACAAATATCTTTCAAAAAAGGTTTTAAGGACGCCTGTGCCTCAAAAAAAAATTTTTTTTTACCGAAACAACAAGAATAGATAAAGTGATAAACAAATAATAACTAAGAAGTAAAAAAAAAAAAACCATGCCACAACTCACAAATTGACAACACCGGTGATCAAGAGCAGTTTAGCCCGCATTCAGCTGGTCACATCTTCAATAGCATATGCTTTATAGTAAGTTAATAAAATGCAATAAAAATGCTACAGTGCAGATTTATACAATGTAATTTAATTAGTAACATAGGAATTCCTGATAATTCCTCTGACAGAGTCAATCTATGCTACTCTTGAGTTTCAATTTTGACTTCAAGCCAAAAAAACTCCAAGCTAAAGATCACTAATCCAACACTCACTTTCGTGAAGTGCTCCTTTTTGGGTGCAAGCATAAATTATTCTATTCATGATGACAAGTTGTAATTTGGTCCAAATGAATAAAAATATGGGTTACGGTCTGCAAAAATTCAAAAAATTTGGAAGCCCGCTTAAAATATTTTGTGTGGGTCAACAATTTGTGATTTTGTTGAAAAGTGAATAATGAGTTTTAGTCCACAAAATTGCGGAAAATTCAGTGTACGCGTGTAAGTATTCTATGTGGGACAACAATTTATTATTTAATCAAAAAAAAAAACAAAATAATGAGTCATCGTCAACAAAATTTCCAGAATTTCTTAGTAAGCATAAATATCCTATGTGAGACTGCACATTGAGATTTGGTCAAAAATGGGGGGAAAAATGGGTCATATAGTCCATTAAAATTCTTAAATTTTTGTGTACGCAATAAAATATTCTATGCAAGATTGTAACTTGTGATTTGGTTGCAAACGACCAGAATAATCGGTAAAGTCACAGAAATTCAGAATATTTTAGGGCCCGTAAAAAATATTCTACGCAGGACAACAATTTGAGATTTGGTAGAAAGTGGCCAAAATCATGAGTTGTGGTCCCAAAAAATCATGACCATTGGAGTATGCATAAAATATTCTATGTGGGATAATAAATTATGATTTGCTCGAAAACGGACGAAATCATGGGTTATTGTTCACATGAATTCAAAAGTTTTGGATTAGGAAAAAAATATTATATGTGTGATTTCGACAAAAAGGATCAGAATCATGGATTATAGCTCACAAAAATTTGGGAATTTTGAAGTACGCATAAACTATTCTTTACAGGACAACTAGTAATTTTCGAAAATGGCCAAACTAGCGAGTTCCACAAAAATTCTAGAATTTGAGTATACATAAAATATTATATGTGTGACAACAATTTGTGATTTGGCCTAAATCGACCAAACTCATTGGTTAAATATGCATAAAATACTCTATGCAAGATGGCAATTTATGATTTGGTTATAGACCAAAACCTTAAGGTACCGTTTGGCAAAGGGTTAAGTGAGGGGTTAAGGAGACTTAACCCCTTCTTAACCTGCCAAACACAACAAATCTATATAAGGGTTAAAGTGAGTTAACCCTTCATAATTTGCCAAACATAAAAAATATAGAAGGGTTAAGTTAACCCCTCTAGAGGGGTTAAAATGAGTTAACCCCTCAAAATGAGGGGTTTACTAATACTCCTATTTAGATGGAATAAGAGTTAACCCTTCTAATTATAAAGAAAATAGTCAAAATCATTGTTATTCCCAAACACTAAAACTGATCATAAGGGCTAAAATAAAACTTATTTAACGGATTAATAATTTAGTCCTTCGGATTATCAAATGGGCTAAGTACATTAATCCTTCTTTTTAACCCCTCTTCATTAACCCTTTGCCAAACGGGGCCTAAGTTGTAATCCACACAAATTCGAGAGTTTCAAAGTACACATATGCAAGAGAGCAATTTGTAACTCAATAAAAAACGAGCAAAATCATGGGTATACCTCATAAACATTTGTGGGCTAAATTACTAAATTGGTATTGTTTGTAACCTTACTTAACAGGTTTGGTATTAGAAGTTTCTACAATGACTTTTTGGTATTAAAAGTCCTCTCAATTTGTGAATAGGCATACTTGTTGTTGATGAAATTTTGGGGGAATTTTTGTCAATTTCAAACACATTTACTATAAAAAAAACTATGTTTTCATTCAATTAAATACTACTAATCATCCTACTAACCATCTACAGCTTTCAAACCATACAAAAAAAGTTAAGAACTTTACAATTTTATCCTGTCACGTCATCTAAATCCAGCCACATCAGTTAAACAAAGTCACATTAGCATTCCAACTACTTAGAAATTAAGTCATATGCTAAATCCAGCCACATCAGTTAAACAAAGTCACATTAGCATTCCAACTACTTAGAAATTAAGTCATATGAGGTCACATACAATTTTCTCGCTATGTTTTTTGCTGCCGCCGAAAAAATGTCTAATTGCTCATCTGGTGTACTTTTAATACCGAAAAGTCGCAGGAGAAACTTTTAATACCAAACTAGTTAAGAGGCGTCACAAAAAAATACCAATTTGGTAATTTAGCCAAAATTTATGATTTGGGTACGCATAAAATATTCTTTGCAACATGACATCTTGTTGGTCTAAAATGGTCAAACTCATGGATTATAGTCTATAAAATATAAGAATTTTAAACATGACATCTTGTTGGTCTAAAATGGTCAAACTCATGGATTATAGTCTATAAAATATAAGAATTTTAAAGTATGCAAAAAATATTCAATGCAGTCTGAAATTTTGTGATTTTATCGAAAATGACCAAGACCATAAGTTCTAGTCCATAAAACTTCAGGACTTTGGATTAGGCATAAACTATTCTATGTTTAATTTGTGATTTGGTCGAAAATGGCAAAAATTATTGGTTATAGTCCATAAAAATTAAGAAATTCTTGAATATGCATAAAATATTATATGAGGGTCATAATTTGTGATTTGGTCTAGAAAGGTCACAATTATGCATTATAGTCCATAAAAATTTGTGAATTTCAGAGTATGCATAAAAGTATTATATGTGGGATGACACCTTGTGATTTAGTCGAAAAAGGGCAAACTCATAGGTTATAGTCCATAAAACATGACAATTTCAAAGTTGCATAAAATATTCAACGTGGGATGATAGTTTGTGACTTGGTCAAAAATGGACAAAATCATGGGCTCTAGTCCATAAAAATTCAGGAATTTGAACTAGGCATAAAATATTCTATGAGGAATGTTAACTTGTGATTTGGTTGAAAACGATCAAAATTATTGGTTATAGTCCACAAAAGTTAAGAAATTCTTGAATATGCATAAAATATTATTTGTCGGACGATAATTTGTGAGTTGATTGAGAATGGTGACAATTATGCATCACAGTCCACAAGAATTCGAGAATTTCTAGGTATGCCTAAAATATTCTATGTACGAAAACAACTTATGATATGGTAAAAAAAAGGCTAAATTACCATAGTAGTATGTTTTTATACCCCTCTTACCAATTTGGTATTTTTTTGGTTCGACTACATTTTGGTATTTTTCTGACTAACTGTGCAATTAGACCAAAGATTTAGCCACTAGCGAAAAAAGGCGCAAAACTCTTTCCTCCTAGCAGTGTATGGTCTCCCAAGCTTACTCTTTATTATATTTGGAGGTAATACCATCCCCACTTCTTATTTGTTCCAAAATTTACTTTCTTGTAGTGGACTCAACATTTTTACATAAGTTTGGGCATAGTTATTATTCTTATACTCAGTGTATAAATATCGGCTGACATATCGATATATTGGATTCTACAACAACCCGCAATGATATTTACATATTTACAGTGGTCCAATTTTTAGAATTTTTTTCAATATATCAGCCAAATATCAGATATATCTCGATACCCACAATATTGACCGATATTGTGATTTCTTGTGTTTAGTTTTATTTTATTTTTATTTTTATTTTTAGGTTTGGGAATATTGACCGATATTGTGATTTCTTGTGTTTAGTTTTATTTTATTTTTATTTTTATTTTTAGGTTTGGGTTTGGTTTTAGGTTTTCAACCCAATTGTGTTTAGTTTTATTTTATTTTTATTTTTATTTTTAGGTTTGGGTTTGGTTTTAGGTTTTCAACCCAATGAAACTCTCCCTTTGCTTCAAAAACCAATCAATCTCACCAAAATTCGAATTCTTGCAATTTTGACACTCATCTCTTTCTCGCTCCTCTCTCTAGCTCTCCGCTGGTAAGCGCTCTCCCCCATGTCTTCTCTGTCCTTCTCTCCCCCTCTCGCTGCCCCTCTTTTCACCCCCTCTCCCCCCTCCCTCTCTCTTTTCTCACCCTCTCTCTTCTTTGTCCCTCTCCCCTTCCTCCACCCCTTACACTTTCTCTCTACCTC